GGCGCGTCACACTATCCCTTTCTTTGAACCAATTGAGAACCCCAATACTTCTCTGTTTGGGGAATAAAACCCTTAAAGAATCTTGTCTAACCTCTTATAGAACCGCATTTAAATCGCCTGAACCCTACAAACCTTGAAGACCCATACGCTCTATATAAACCTAAATAATCCCTGTAGGCAGCAGAAACCCGATAAGCGCTGCACACCCCTCGCACGAACTTTTTCTTGACGAACACCCGGAACGTGCTCGGCAAAAGGAGGGGCACACCCCAATGGTAAAATTCCTTCTGGGTGACCCTCTTGGTTCTTGAGGTCCTTCACCACCGAGTTGTAGGCAGTCTCCTCCATGAAGCCTAGCTCACAAGTGATCTGTTGGAGAGAGTTTGGGGGTTGGGTTTATGACCCTAAACCCTAAACCCAAAGGGGTGAAGGTTTGAGGGAGTTGCGGGCTCATGAATAGCCTGAATCGTTAGACTTGGCTTTCGCTTTCGTTAGGTGTGTGTGGGGGTGGGGGGGGGAAACTACAAACGTAAGGAGTAATAGTACTCTCTGTGCAGGAAGCTTCCTCAAGAGCCCAATACCCCTTTCAAATACCCTACGGCGGAACAGCTTGACCATCAGCAGATAGGGGTGTTTGCTATAAGAAAGAGGGTATATCTCCTGGGTTCGACTTCCAGCTAGGATATAACAAGACCAGGCCACCCGAAACGGCTTAGTATTATTGTAATCTTTCTGACCGTCCATCAGAAGCACCTCAAGCCCAAGGCTGTCGTTCAGGCTGTTCAGGTGATGGCCTTTGTATGATCACCCAAGATCACAGGGACAGGAGACTTTTACTAGGCCTCCAACCCCGTAGCCCTGAAGTCTAAGAAGAGCCCAAGATACCAGTGAGAGGGCTGAAGGCGCCACTGAGCAGGCAGAAGACGTCACATGCCTGCAGCACAGTTGGCGGCAAGTCTGGGCTCTCCAACTCGGAGTTTTTCCCGTCCCTCACATAGCTTGGACGAGCCCGCATTGCAGGGTATGAATTCGGATATGTCGGGTTTAGATTTTAGGGTTTAGGTTTTTTTTAGTTTCTAGAGCAAACCTGACACATCCCTCGACAAAAACACAGAAATCGCCTAGAAACACCTCTCGTAAGGCCCGACGAAGCCCCACCAGGCTGAATTCTAAACGGCCTCTAATAGGCCCCAAACCCTAAACCCCAAAACCCCAAAACCCATTTCCCTAAACCCCAAAACTCTAAACCCTAAGCCCTAAACGTCAGATTTCCGGGTCTCTGGAAAAGCTCGCCGCCCCCACCTGGCGCTCGTTCAAATCGATGGCTTTCACGGTGCTGGCGGTGAGGCTCTGGATGGTGGCCGGATCCTCTTTTTTAGGGTTCAGGGTTTGGGGTTTAGGGTTTAAGGTTAAGGGTCTTTTTGAAGTTTAGGGTTTAGGGTTTGGGGTTTAGGGTTTAGGGTTTGGGGTTTAGGGTTTAGGGTTAAGGGTCTTTTTGAAGTTTAGGGTTTAGGGTTTGGGGTTTAGGCCTTGCGCCACTTACGTAAAGCATCAGAGGACTTCGTAAGTAAGGTTACAAGCTGAGTATCTATAACTATATATTGATGTGCGTTAAAGCTCTAGGGCTCAGGTTTTGCGGCCTAAAGCCGAAAGTCGGACAGAGAGCCGTATGGCTAGGGACGCAGCCCAATGTGGTAAGCTCTGCTAGCCCTACAAGCCCTATAAACCCAAAGACTATTCAGGGAATCCTAAATATTCACCCTCCCCTTTTTGCATCAGGATTTGTGGAATCGCCTGAGTATCACCACAACACGCATCACCCTCCTTTTTTGCACAAACTTGTGCATGCCCGCCTGCATCACCCTCCCCAAACCCCAAAACCCTTGCCAAACCCTAAACCCTAAACCCCAAACCCTAAACCCTAAACCCTAAACCCTAAAGCTTCATAAACCTCGAACTGAAAGTCCTTCACCATCAAGTCAACGAGAGAACCGCCGTGAGGGGCGCCAGCGAAGGTGGTTCGCGTGTGGATGCCACACTCCGTCTTCGCCTCGCGCAGGCTTAGCTTTATAATCGCCTTTCTAACAGGGTTAAAGTAGGGTTTAGGGTTTATAATGGGGCTTATATGGTTTTGATAGGGCTTCGGCCTTACAATAGGGCTTAGTTAGGCTTAGCTAGGGTTTCTTTGTAGGTTTCGTTTGAATAGGGGTTTAAGGACTAAATTGGGCTTATGGTTTCTTTGCAGGTTTCGTTTAACTGGGGGTTTAAGGTACTACCACGGCATATAGGGTCTATATGAGGGCGTATAAGAAGAGCTCGATACACTTCGACGGCCCTACGAACCGCACCGCAAGATATGGACAACAAAAGCGGCATTCCGAGACCGATGACAACGTTCACAGCAGAAACCTTCTTTCCTAAACCCTAAACCCTCACAGCAACCTTCAGAGGGTCTTTAGGGCCAAACCTCTTGGGCCCAGAGCTTCGCGGGATAGGAGCTTCCTCCTAACCGGACTCCAATCTTTCTGAAAGCTTTGTATATTGGTTTAGGGTTTAGGGTTTAGGGTCCGAAACATAGAAGAAAGAATCCTTCAATAGTCACAGTATACGAACCGTTTGAAGTCAAAGACCTCGAACCGACCTCCCGACACCCTGAACACCAAAACCCTATAATACCCTTAGATAACTTCTGGGACCCTAATGAAACAAAAAACCCTTATAGAACCCTTAAGCATCATCCTGACAACACGGTAGAAACACCCTTGCGAATCCCACACAGAACTGTGTAACGCTCAAACCCCAAGCCCTAACACCCTGACACGTTAAACCCTTCAGCCCTACAAACCCTAAGAGCTTAAACCTTACTTCAAAAGCCCCAAAATGTAAGCACAACCCTACATCCCCAAATCCAGCAAGGGCCTAAAGCCCTAAAGAAGCCCAAACCGTAAGCCCAAAGGCCCGAAAAACAACACAAGCCTATACCCATGCAGAACCCTGAATCCCCACAACCCTAACACCCTTTAGAATTTTGAACCCCCTAAAGCCTCAACCCGAACCCTGAACCAAAAACCCCAAACCCTAAACCCTGAGCCCTAAGCCTGAAACCCTAAACCCTAAACCCTATGTCCTAAGCCCTAAACCTTAAACCCTAAACCCCAAACCCCCGAACCCTGAAGCGAATCCTCGCCTGGCGCACAAAGCGGCCGGCTCGCTCGGACTCGTGGGGCTCGACGGGCACGGTGGTGTGCCTGGGCTTCCGGTCTTCAGGGTTTAGGGTTTCGGGTTTAGGGCTTAGGGTTTATGGTTTAGGGCCTTATTGGGTTAAGGGCTTAGGCGTTTAGGGTGTAGTTGCTTTGGGTTTTGGGGGCTTTGTAACTTATGGTTTAGGGGTTAAAGGGGCTGTGCATGTCCTAGAGCGATTTCTGGACCATAGTAAGAGCGACCTTAGGGTATAGCGAGGATTCTTACGATAAGGACCTGGAGTAGATTCGATGGGGGTCTTCTTTAGGGTGTTGTCCTGGTTCCAGTCGCTGCAGTTCTAGAGCTTTCTGAGACTCTGTTAAGTAGGGTTACCATATGGATGGCCCGCGACTGCCTCTCAAAAGCCAAAATGGGTGCTGTAGGTCACCGGGCTCATAGGAAATAGCAAAGATTTCGACCTGAACCGCCTCAAGCGCTAAAATGCAGGGTTTTCGGTCCAGTTTAGGGTTTAGGGTTCAGGGGTTTCAGTCCATCTCAATGCTCTTCCTAGAAGCGGTACACAAGAAGTATCCCAGCAAGAGGTTAGCATTCGCTCAACTTCTGGACCTAACAAGCAACTCGCCTCGACATTCCTTGCAAAGGAAGGAACATCTCCATAACAATCGAAACCTCTAAAACATAAACCCTAAAACCCCGCCCTTCTCTCGCAGACACTACTAAGTCCTAGAACCCTCAACAACCTCGTAGCTGCTGGGTTTATATACATGGCTAAGCGGCATATCACCGAAGGACTTGAAAACGTAGGTGATCGGGGCTGCGGGGCTTCCCTTGACCTCCGCGTCCGTGCAGCGCCAAAAAGGCTTTCCAAGGTCGACCTGGAAGGATCAGGTTGCCACTTTAGGGGTTTAGGGTTTAGGGTTTTTTTCCCTCTCGCATGGCTGAGGTTCTATTGGGTTTAGGGGTTTAGGATTTAGGGTTTAGCGTCTTGCAGTTTAAAGCAAAGTTCAGGGGTGTCGGCACATACTCTCTGGCATGTCAGGCGAGGTTCTTGGTGCGTAGTCGGTTGGAGGAGAAACCCATGTCGGGGCTTTGTCGAAAGGGCATCCAAGATACAGGTTATCTCGCTGCCAAGAACCAGAGTCGAATGTCATCCGGCTTCAATGATCCCTAAACCCTAAACCCATGTTAGTGGACGTCGTTTCGAGATTTAGGGAAATGCTTTGGGCTTTTGGCGCTCACTTGCTGAAGTTACGAAGGTCTGCGGAGTTGGAGAGAAACCCTGTATACCTCGTTACTAAAATAAAAGGCAGGTTGATGCAGGTTGGCAGGGGGCTGGAGGTCTTAAGTCTAAGACTACAACAAGCAACAGAGCAACCAATCAAGTCTTACAGTCCAGGCGCGAGCAACAGTATAGAGAAACTCTCCAACTCCCTATAAGACCCGGGCATATCCCTGTTAAGACTTTTGAACCAACGACCCGGCCTCCGACAGGCCTCGTCATATATGCATGATACACAACTTCTGACAAACGATTAATACCCTAAACCCTAAACCGTAAATCCTAAACCCTAGACCACAAGCTCGAGGAAACCTCTGGCAAATATGGAACATTACTTCATTACTAAGGCTTAAATATGCAGTGGATTGTGCAGGATGCTGTGCATCAGCAATGTAAACTTCCTAGCGGCCGAGGGTGTCGGGGCCAAGGATCTACAGCAAGCGGTTTGAAACATTGAGCTTGCAGCTAAATGTTGGCGATGCTTGAAAAAGGCAAAAGCCAAGCAAGGTTCCGGGCGGCAATCTCCAGCCCCCAGAAAACACACACTATGAGTATGGAGCTTCAGTTGTGGGGGTTAAGCAAATGCTGCAGTTCGCAAGGTTTTAAGTCTTCACAAAGACCTTCCAACCGAAATTTTGAAACCGCAAGACATTGAAGCGAAAATACATCCTCTGAACCCCAGTCACCAAGCCCAACCTGACGCCTCAAGCCCCTAACCCTAAACCCTGAACCCTGAACCCTAAACCTTAAACCCTAAACCCTAAACCTTAGACCCTAAACCCTAATGCTCGCAGAATTTGCCCACCTTGGTCCACGGAAGATCCGGGAGGTGGCGGCTGGTCGCCTCGATTGGCGCGTCGCAGCGGAAGGCCCAGTTGTGGCCAGCGTTCACTGGCACACCCTCCTGGTAGCATCCCTACACCCTAAACCCTGAACCCCTAAACCCCCTAACCCCTAAACCTTTTCTGCACTGCTTGGTTTGGGGTTTGGGGTCTTGGGTTTAGGGTTTGGGTGCTTTTGCTGTGGGACATATACGGTTTAGGGTTTCGGGTTTAGGGCTTAGGGTTGAGGGTATAGGGTTTAGGGTTTAGCGTTCAAGCCTACGGTGCTTCGACTACTTTGGGATGTTCCTAACGTCTCAGATGCAGCTTTGAAAAGACTTTGAGCTTTTGCCAGAATCCAGGAGGAAAACCCTTCCGGCTAGTTCTTTAGAGAAAAAACCTCTTAGACCCTAAACCCTACGCCGATTAAGCATCAATCTTAAACTCTGAACCCTAAACTCCAAAACCCTAAATTCCCTCAGCTGCACAGTCCTTGTCTACGTAGTCGATGATGTCCTGCCAGCTGAAGTTTGCCATGGGGTTCAGCGTGCCTGGGACAAGAACGGCTTGGGGTTTTCAGCTTAGAGTTTCAAAGTTTAGGGTTTAGGCGTATTGAGGGCATTAGGGTTTAGGGCCTCCACTTAGGAAGGGTTTCGTAGCCCTAAGAGCTGCCTGAAGCAACAGATTCTCTGAGGTTCCTTAGGTAGGGCTTGAGCATGAAAACGCTTTCGGCTTCGACTCTTGCTTTGCCAGCATAGGCTTAGTGAGGGCTTTGAGGTTTAAGGCTGCGGTTTTAGGCGTATCGGCGAGGTTGCTGCATTGCCAAATTGACCACCTGTTGTGCAGGGTTGGGTATCCACACCAACAATTCCGCGAAACCTGGCAAAGAATGCCCGGTCGAGAGTGCTGTCTGCCTCCATACCATTGAGAACTCGAGCTGCACTTGAAACCACAAAGGTGCCGCCCTAGGAGTAACCCCACCGACTTCCACATTGTGTCCAGGTGCGCTTCTGATCCTCCCAGACATCCAGCTTGATGCGCTGTGCCGCTTGGTCCATGCGGCGGCCCGTGATCAAGATGTCTTTCTCACACTCCTCACGAGCGAAGAACGGCATCAGGCAAGGAAAAGGTGGCGCTTCAGCTGAAAACCCTAAACCCCTAAACCAAACCCTAAATCATGTACCTAAACCCTAAACGAGTTTTTGCAACAGGCCTCACCCTAAACCAAAAACCCTGTACCTAAACCCTAAACTATAATCTCCCAAACCGACTGAGCCCGGAGAATTGGCAATCGATGTTGGGCTCCTCCAAAGCACGCTGGAAAGGCTCCACCTGGGCGGTCTCTTCTCTTGCCTGTCCCTTAGGCTCCATTTCAGGGTTCCAATAAGTGTACGGTTTAGGGTCGCCTTTCCCTTACACCCTAAGGGTCTGTGTGCCCAGAAGGGTTCCTTTATGGGTTCCTAGAAGGGTATCATAAAGGTTTAGGGTTTAAGGCTCCATGTACCCACATATTATATACTTACCCCTTGGACGAGTTCTTATGCATGAACATTAAGATCTAAGTATCTACTACATAGGTACATGGAGCTTTAGGGCTACCTGCCACGGTCCTCAAGCGGCTTCAGATGCTTTGTAGATCTTACCCTGGGCTCCTGAGTGAGCCCTAAAGAATAAGGGTACCCTTTTCCCTAATATTCGGTCTTAATAAGGAGAACCCAAAAATAAAAAGGGCAAAAGGGTGCTACTCAGGAACCTAGTACCTGGTATGCATTTGCGGAGTCCATCGTTTCTAGAGACTTTGGAGTTGATGGCAACCCGTGATCATGAGCTTTCGCCCTTCATGGAAGGACGACGATGTAAATTTCAAGACCACCAGTCGCGGGTCCTAAATCTTCAGGTCCAGGGCCTACTAGACTCGTAGAGCCATTACTAACCTTGTCGCCACTATGACCACGGTTCCTTTCATACATGGAGATCTGCACTACGCGCGCGTGATTCTATCAAGCTTCTAGAAAACTTTGTCTGTAAAGCCCAGAGAGCCCTCGAACTTAAAAAGGCCGCTAGACCTTGCTCACAAAGTCGAAGTCGGCAGAGTCCAGCTCCTCGCAGTCGCCGTACTTGGCAATGAACTCGTCCTCTGCTACAGGGTTTAGGGTTTACGCTCTCGCAACTCGGACTCCGCCAGACGAGGTCTCTCGGTATGTCGACTCACATCTAGTTCACTACATGTGATCCGAACGGTTTAGGATGTATATGCCTTCTGTGCTGCTTTTTCTTCAGGCGGGACGGCAGCTCACCACATGCCCTCATGCTCACCTCACCTCGAAGCTTCAGCACTCGTAGATCTACAATAGATATTGTATGTTTTCCACGCGGATATTATCGGGAGGGGTAGCTTTTAGGGTTTAGGGTTTATAGGGGTTTGGGGTTTAGGGGTTTTGGGTTTAGGGTTCTGTGTTCAAGAGCTGGAGAGTTGAGGCTTGCATGGGGTCCTTCGTCGTGATCCCCTTCGGCATCTTCCACATTGCCTGCGCGGCACGCCAAGCTCAAGGAAGCCGCATCCTAAGTCCCTGCAGAGACAGAAAACGCAAGCGTCCACCAACTTTTATCAAATACGAGAAGCATACCAAAAGCAATCAGATGTTCGAGACAGTAGCAGATATGAGTGATGACGGATAGTCGATCCCATCATCAAGACCACGGCATTCACAAGCCACAAGAACAAGGGCGAGAATGAAGTCCCAGAGCCGGGTCGGTGTGAGGATTGTGCCTTCTTGGCATATTTCTCCTCAACCAGCTTGGCACATTCGAGAGTCGTCGGGAAGAGGTGCAACGTGTCAATGGCAACGAGATTCATCCCAGTCAAAACCTCCTCGGGTTTGGTTTTGCTCTATGTGAGCTCACTACGCCTTACACAGTCTTGCCACTCTCAACCGCGTACCTTATGTGACAATGTGGAGACTCAAGCTCCAGGTTCTTCAGATTCGACTTCTCGCTGCTGGGTCGTGTGTTTGGTATAATTCATCCCACAACACGTCTCGAAGATCCCAAAGGGTCCAAAGTACCTATATAGTAGAATGTAGGGTTTCTATATTAGGAACTACTATTCTGATTTGGGGAAGTATGCCCCATAACAGTACCTAGGACCCTTTGGGCACTTCGGGCCGCAGAGTCCAAAGGCCTCTTCCCAAAGGGTGTGACCGAACCGCAGCTTATCGGGGCCAAAGCAACTGCATGCAAGCGAATGCTTCTTTCACGGTAAACCGCGAAAAAAGTTGGAAACCGGATTAAGGGCAAATAGTGCTGGGATTTCCTATTACTATACTCCTAGGGATTGAGGCTATTGGGTTTCCAACTTTCGGGCTTCTTTTCCTAAAAGCACCTGTCCTATTGCAACGACAGGATGTCTGGCATATCGCTCAAGACAAGGATGCTAAGTTTCCCAAGAAAGCCAGGAGAACCGGCCATGCCAAGAGCTAACCTCGAACAGCAATGCCGAGATTCCTTCATAGTTTCTCTTTAGACTATGGGCAGAATATCCGTCCCCACCCCTTTGATTGAAATGGCTTGAACTCGCCCTTTTACCGGCTCGGGGTTTCTTCCAGGGTTCAGGGAAGTGCTTCCGCATGAGTGCGACGACCGTTGTCAGTGGCAAGCCAGGCTGTTGCGAAGACCACCTTCTTTCCTGAGTCATACCGAGCCCTATGCCTCAACTCTGCACCTTCAACCCAAAACTCCCAAAGGAGCACAAGAGCCCGTGGTTAAGGAATACGCCTTGAACCCTAGTCTAGGGCTACGGGGCTGCTGGGCTTCTCAGTGCCTACAAGGAGCATTCCTCCATGAGGGGCTCTCTGGTTATTGCAGGGTCTTCTGACGCCAATATCTTGTGTTCGGAACTTGCTGCGATCTAATGTAGCTCTACTTGCCGGACGTAGAAGTACCCACATGAAGTTCACATGAAGGGTAAATTGGGGGGCGCGGGGTTGAGGAGGAACTATTCCTGAGGGGCTGGACATCAAACATCCACAAACGGAGCTCAATGAACCTACGACCTACGAAAACAAAGGGGATGAGTTGTTGCCAACACTACCAAGCTGCCATCCTTTGGAAAGTGCACCCTAAATCCTAAACCCTAAGACTACCAAGCTGCCATCCTTTGGAAGGTGCAGGTCCACATGTTTGCAGAAGTCATCCACCTTGCTCTGCCTTAGTCGGCACTGCCTGGCCCTGATGAGGCACCGGCAGAATGAGGGTTTAGGGTTTAGGGTTCAGGGTTTCGGCGTTTAGGGNNTTTGGGGTCTTGGGTTGAGGGTTTCGGGAACCAAAACCTGAAGCTCATGTAGTACGTGAGTCATACCCCTCCAAAACCATGCTACAACCTTCATAGCCTATACCACCATATAGAATGCCCAACGCACACTAGACCCTAAACCCTACACCCTAAACCCTAACCCCTAAACCCCTAAACCCTAAGCCCCCAAAGCCCTTAACCCTAAGCCCTAGCCTC